GAGGCTCTGCCCCTGTGGTGCCAGGGAGCCCCCTGGGCAACATGCCCATTTGGGCCACTGGGCAGATCCTGCCAGGGAGAAGGCAGCTTGGCCAGACAGAGGCAGGGAGAGCCCAGGCCAGAGCCAGGGGGAAACGTGACTGGGGCGGGTGGACAGGGCCCGGGACAGAGTGGTCAGGGAGAACCTGAGGGAGTCAACCAGGATGCCAAGGCAGGGCTGGGCTCAAGAGGAATAGTGACAGCAGGGAAACTGAGGCACTCAAACAGACCAGCTGGCCAGAGCTGCAGAATATATTTATGTCGAAAGGAGAATATGTCTGCAGCTCTGAACTCGTGTGTGCCCACATCTCCTGTCCCCCCAGGTGTGACTGGGCATGGGGTCTGGGCTCCTGGTTCCCTGCTTTCCCACCCCTGGAGACCTAGGCAGTTGGACGGAGCTGCCTGGAGGCCATATCTGAGAAGTCTGTAGAGTCAAGGCAGGTTCTAGGGACTTTGAGGCGAATCGTTCTACCTCACTCCTCTTCTCCCCCTGGGCCTGGTGAGGAGGACCAGTGAGCATCTTTGGGGGCTCTCTCCTCAGGGACTGATGAGGCCAGCTCTCACTGTAGATCTGGGAAAGAAGCTTAGGGGTTTTGTAGGGGGCCCTGCTTATGGCGACAGGGGTCCATGAATAATTTCTTTCCCCTCCTCAACGAGATCACTTGCTCCTCAGGGAGGGAGGAGGAGGAGTAGAGAAGGAACCAGAAACAGAAAAGGGACCTGCTGTGTGCAGCTGGGGGGGCCTCTGGAGGCCCTGATAGTGACAGGCGAGGTATAAATAGCCTGGGCCCTGCGGCTCATGTTCTGTCGGCTGCCCGTGACGAGGTGCTCAGGAATTCCACTCTCCTGTTGGCAAGCCTCTCGCTCAGTCTCCAGAACTCTCGTTTCCCCAAGCCACCTCCATCCCATGGTCAGGGCCACCCATCGGGCACCAGTGCTGTCCACCCACTCAGAGGCTGAGCTCTGTTGTGGAGAGATGCCAGGGTCCTGGGGCACGTCCCTGGGTCTCACAAGGAACCGTGTGTGAGAAAAGGCAGGCTTCTGGCAGCCAAGCTGAGGTGCCAGGAGCTTGGGGTTCAGCAGGGTTGTGGCCGAAGCCCTGATGAGGAAACTGAGGCGCAGCTCTGAGAAAGGATAGATTCCTCTCTTTGAGCTGCTGGGGAGGAGAGAAGGGGCGAGTGGTGGGGAAGCTTGGAGCCGACAGCCCCTTTCCAAGCCCTGCTGGCTCACAGTCTTGTTTCGTGGGCATTCTCTGAGGTTCCCCAGTCAGCTGGGGGCCTCTGTTAGGGTGGGAGGGTTTGAAGATACTGGCGAGCAGAGAGGACTCCTGAGGGTAGTTCCTTTGCTCTCCTGCTTTGACTCACTCTTTCACTCAGGGAGAGGTCAGTGTGTGGGCGCAGGGGAGCAAGTGAATGGCCTGCAGAAGAGGGGCAGAGTGCCAAGGGACAGTTCCCATCACCCCCACCAACTGCTCCCAGAAACCTGAGCCTGTTGCTCTCCAGGATAAATCGGGGCCTGACTCAGGCCCCAGCAGCCAGTCACAGTCAGCCTGACCCAGGCTCAGGCTGGTGACTCAGCCCTCAATATAGCCCATGAGCCCAGGCCCCAGGCCCGACCAGGCAGGCCGGAACAGACCGTGCACAATGCCGGTCCTGACCCTGCCAAGGAGGGCCCCCTCCCCGAGGAGAGTCGGCGCGCTCTTCCCCAAGGCAGGCAGGGCTCACCGAGGGGCTTACAAGGGGTTTCATCAGCTGAGTATTTGGGGCGGTGCTGGCTGGGGCTGTGGGCCGTTTATAGACCCCTGAGTCACTACCCGCTGACCTCTCTCGGGAGACCAGGTTGCGGGCTCTTCACCTGGCCCTGCCTCTCCCACCAAGGCCCTGCTCATCACCACCAACACTGGCCATATTCAACTCAGGCAGGGCTGAATCCAAGTGAGCGGGTCCAGCGGGCCATGTCTGAAAAATCCTGTTTTTCTGAACCAGGGACATTTCCACAGTCACCTGTGATGATCCTGCGCTGGCCAGGCTCCCAGTAGGCACTCTGACCACTGTGTGAGACTGACTGTGACTCTGACCCAGCTGCCAGGAGTGTGGCCGAGTGGAGTGATCCATGGGCTGAATTCTAGCCCTGCCACGTGTGGCTCTTTGGGGCCTCAGTTTTCTCACCTGTAAAACGGAACTAATAATGCTCTCAGGAGGATTATTTTGTGTGTGTGCAGATGAAAGGAAACAACACAAGAGACAATTAGCCTGGTGCTTGGCATCTAACAGGTGACTGGAAAAAGTTAGTTTGCTTCCTCTGCTGGTATCTTGAGGACTGAGTGTAAGTAAAGCCCTTCCCCACAGCTCTGTCCACACCCCTGCAGTGATCACTGCCTGGACCTCCAAGCTGCTCCCCTGCAGCCTAACACTCCACCTGCCAGGATCAAAACCAGTACCTGCCATCTTCAGAGCCACTCACCCTGCCCCCATCAGCAACAGGTCCTTGACAGAAGCAGCAGGTGGTGACTGTTCTGCCTGCCGCCTGGGAAGGAGAAGCAGCCCACTGGGAGTCAGCCAGAAAGGAAGCAGGTAGAGGGGAATAGGGAGAGACAGAGGCCCCGAAGGTGTTTTGAGTCCTTGGTACAAGCTGGGCTTCGGCCTGGGTGCATACCCGCCTGTGACTTCCAAGAGACATCTCTGTCCACTTAAAATCAACCCCTCTGCCTTCTTTCAAGCTAGCTCAAGTGAATGTTTCACACTCAACAAAAAGAGGCCTCTTTAATAGACACTGGTAACAGTGCATCAGTAACAGAGGTGGCACAAAGTTTACATTGAATGAAGAGAGAGGTTCCAAAATGAACAGAAGGGCGGGTGTCCTGAGTCAGGAGCTCTGCATTCTAAGCAACAAGATGAGAAGAGCAACCCTATGGAACCTGGCCTCCATCTTGGCCATGATTCCAAGTCAAGTTGGGGAGTCTTGGTGTCTTCGTCCATCTGGACTGCTGCAACAACATACCATAGACTGGGTGGCTTATAAACAACAGGAGTTTCCTTTCCTCCGTTCTGGAGTCTGGGAAGTCCAAGATCAAGATGTCTGCGGTGAGAGCCTGCGCCCTCATGGATGGCTGTCATCTCACTGTACCTCACAAGGTAGAAGGGGTGAGGGCTCTCTCCAGGTCTCTTTTACAAGGGCACTAACCCCACTCCTGAGGCTCTGTTCTTGTAACCTAAGCACCTCCTCAGACTCCCCCTCCTGAAATCATCATCTTGGGGGTTAGGATTTTAACACTGCCGGGGACACAAATTCAAAATGGCTATAGGTAATCATCCAGTCCTTTCCATTGCATATGTTCACCACCCAACCAGTGGCTGGAGTAAAGCAGATAAGCAGCAGGGTCTCACCACACTCAAGAACAAGCGACGATTGGCACCAGCTAGGTTATGAATTTATTAGGTTACAACTCAAAACATACAATATAATTCAACTGACTAGGCCAGTGCTTCTCAAATTTCATTATGCATACGAATCACCTGGGGATTGTGTTAAAAAATGCAGATTCTGTGCCAGCAGATCTAGGTAGAAGTCTGCCTTTCTAACAAGCTTCCAGGTGACACTGCTCCTGCTGGTTCCTGGGCCACACAGAATAGCCAGGAGCTAGACCACCCCAGATCAGGACTATCTTCAAAGAGGAGTCACTTAGAAAGAACATGGGGTACTGCCCTCGGTTTGTCTAGTTGCAGCCATGCTTACAGGGAGCTCGTCATGATGTCGCACCAGCCCCAGGCCTGTTAAGATCACTCAGTTCAGCCTGTCACTTTTCTGGGTTGCATACAGTTTGAAACTCTCCTTGTTCTAAATGTCCTTACTACTCCCCCTAGGAAAGGGCTGGGATAGAAATGAATTAATTGAGTGCTTGGCAGGGCCAGCACAGTACACAATCCATACACGTTACTTTGAGTGTGTGGTTGAATGGAACAGAGTCCTTTGGCATCAGGTGGGCAGGAAGCACAAAGGATGCCAGGGAAACCACTAATCTGTCCACTACAATTTAAGAATACATGTGGGGACTTCCATCTGGAAGCATTCATGATGAGAACAGCCAGGCTCAAGAGATTCCTCAGGAATGATGGTCAACAGGGACACACACACTACCCTGGTCATCCTGCTTGTCCCCACTCTGATCCATTCTCAACCCTCTGTCCTGCTCTGCACTCCAGGAGGCTGACCTTGAAAACTGACCTCACCTTTATTCTGCACTCTTGGCTCCCTACTGGGTCCAGCCCAGGAGAGGTACCATCAGGAACCGGCGGGTGGGAGGAGAGGGAGGGAAACACGGTTTCCACTTGACATGGCTCTGGCAGGAGGTGCAGGCCCTGTGGCCACCATCACGCCTGAACCCTTGCCAGGACTCCAGCACTTGCTAACCCCTCAACCTGGGATGGGGACAGCTTTTCACTGTTGCTCGTGCCTGGTACTGATTCACTGTTCCTTGTCGGTTCTCCTAACTCTGACTTCGGTCCATAGTCTTTTCATTAACTCTCATCAGTTAAAGCTTTGAGTGTGCCACCTGCTTACCCCCTGGGCCCTGACTGGTTAAGTGACATGTCATCTCTGAGGATGAATCCCTTGAGAAGTCACAAGGACTAGGCCACGAAGGCTCACATGTGGATCTTCTTCCGGCATCCTTCTCACATGAATGGGTGTGGGCATGGAGCCCAAGGGGGGCCTTTTGTCCCACCCCCTGTTCACTGCACTTCTTCATGCTCAGCTGAGTTCCTTGCGGCAGCGTTAGAAATCACAGAGCCACCCTCTGCAACACGGCTGGCAGCACAGGGAGCCACAGGGAGCCGGCCCTGTTTCTGAGGCACCTGTCAAGCCACCTTCAGGAGCCAGGCCCTCCTGAGGCACTTGGTTAAAGGGGACCATGCTGCTCTGGTTGTGTGAGGCATTTAGCAAAGAAAAAGCCACAAAGTCTTGTGTCATTAGGTTGATATTTAATTACAAGGGACCCAGGTTCTTACACAAGGCAGGAGGTGGGAGCCAGCCGTTCCCCACAAGTCTCTCCAGCCCAGATGACTGAGGCTGAGGAGATGGGGACACATGGAGCACACAGGAGGGTTCTGGCACAGTGTGTCCTGCCCAAAGCTGAGGGTGGTGGCCACCGGGAGCTGCCCTCTCGCTGGCCCAGGCCTGCCATCACTCCATGAGGCAGAACTCTGACTCCTGCGGTCGCATGTTGGGTAACACATACAGAGCCACCGCTGCAATAGCCAAGAATACCACAGGCTTCCACAGCCCAAACATGTTCTGTGGGGACCAAAGAGAAACCATGAGTGTCCAGCCTTCCAAACTCTCCCAAAGCCACAGTCACCTGCCTACTGCCACCTGAGGGCAACTCGGGGACATGTGGCTCAGGCGCTCTTACTCCTGGGTCACAGTGCAGACAATGTGCTTAGTTCTGGTCCCACTAGACACGTGGCCCAACCCTGTATGCATCACCTCAGTGGCTGCCTGTGTTCAGGCCTCCGTTTCTCCCAATGGAATGAGACAAATACTAGTGCCTATGCATAGAAGCAAGCTTGGGTGGACTTCAAAGGTCCTCCAAATGGCTGCAGTGAGAAAGGACTGGAGGACATGGCAAGAGAGAAGAGGGCAAAGAGCAGGAGGACAGAGGGGGAAGGAGACTGAGGGGAGGTGAAGAGCTTGTACCACCACTGAGTGCAGGTCAGGAGGAAGGTCTCATGAAGCCGGGCCTTTTGCCGAGAATGATGTTAGTGCAAGACAATGCAAAGAAACCTGCCACTGGCCCTGGTCATTCAAACACCCCAATGCCAAGACTTCCAAGCACATGTGCTAGGGTGGGCTGAGGCTTCCAGACACTGCCAACCACTAGCAAACCCTGCTGATTGAGGGACAAGTGACACCATGAGAAGATATCCAAAAGCAACCTTTAGGGGATAGGAAAATTTTAGATAAGAAAATATATACCTGGAGAAAGAGTTTGTATTTTCATTACTTTTTTACTGTATTACTTGAAAGGCAGAATTTGGATTCTGAGTCATAAGCTATAATATAAGGTAACAGAAAAGTGATTTTAGGTAAAAATGGAGTATAGCCTATTAATGCTGAGAACACATTTGCTCAGACAGTAACTGATTTAAAAAGAAGATTTAAAGCCAACTATAAAAAGCAAATAAAATCTCCTGAATCTATAGAAATAGTCACACTAAGACAAACAGAAGATACGAAATGGAAAGCAAAACAATATTACAGGTGGATATACAGAGTAATTCACATATGAAGACCAAGAAGCTAGAAAAAATATTTACACACTCAGATGTTTACATCCTAATGTACACTGCTAGGAGTGTCAGTCTGATGTTCTCGAAGCGGGAGAGACTGAAATCCACAATGTGACCTGGTGCCCTTCACACCATGCAGAGTCAACCTTCCAGACTGGATGAGGACAGGGACAGTGTGGATGTCTCAGAAGGGCAAGTCTGCTTTCCTTGCAGACCCAGTTACCCAAGTGACAAGTCAAGGAAATCATAGTTTTGGACTTGAGTTGCTTGACAAGGCTTTCCATGATGCCCCTCAGATAGTATGTGGAAATGAGAGCAGGGTGACAGTACAGTTTGTTGTATGACCATTTATTAAGTGGCCAATGGACTAACGACTCTCTAGAGGCTTGGTCCTTACTTGTCATTTGGATGAAGCTATGGAAGGTGAGCTTGTCACTCTTGAGGATGATGTAAAGCTGGTAGAAGAAATGAATTTATAAAAATTTTTTTAAAAAAAGAGATGGGGTTTCGCTATGTTGTCCAGGCTAGTCTCAAACTCCTGGGCTCAAGCAATACTCCTAAAATGGTGGGATTACAGGAGTGAGCCACCGTGCTCAGAAATTTTTTTTTTTTTTTTGAGTTGGAGTCTCACTCTGTCGCCCAGACTGGAGTGCAGTGGCCGCTCCCGGCCACCGCAGCCTCAACCTGCTGGGCTCCAGCGATCCTTCCGCCTCAGCCTTCCAAGTAGCTGGAACTACAGGCGCGCGCTACCATGCCTGGCTAATTTTTTTGATTTATGTAGAGATGAGGTCTTGCCAAGTTGCCCAGGCGGGTCTCAAACCTGCGGGCTCAGGCAATCTACTCACCTCGGCCTCCCAAAGTGCTGGGATTACAGGCTGAGCTACCAAGCCCGGCCAGCATTTTTTTTTTAGAAGTGAATATTTTTAAACGACAGGGTCAAGATTTAAAAAAACAACAGCACACAAAACTTTACAGGTAAGAACAATGGACTATATCTAATGGGGGAAGGATGAAAAAAATCTCCCGTTGGCAAAAATCAAATGCAGGTACGGAGTGGGGAGAGGACACTTAGTGGACACAGTATGCAAAAGGGTTTATAAACAGTAGTTGAAATAAGTTAATGCTTTAGTTACCAAAAGAGTTCATGTGATCTGCCTAAACAGGAGTATGGTGTCTTCTAAATACTTGGGATCAATCAAGGAAAACTGCTCAAATAAAGATCAATGACAAGGGGAAACAAGATTGGAAGTTTACCTGTTGCTGATATTAAGACCTTAACATTGATTCTGTTTCCTGGCTGTATTACTTAACCTCTATGATTTAATCATATATAAAATCATAACAGGAGCTTCCTCATAGGGCTGTTGTAAGGATTCGTTAATATATATTAAGTGACACTAGCATGTACTTGGTAAGCATATGCTCTTATTGATATTTTATAATTTATAAATTACTTTCATATATATTAACTCATCTGATCCTCACAAAAACCCTGTGAGGAGGGCAGAAGTTTATGTCCTTTAAGTTCAGATTACACATTTTGCTCACTGGGTTGATGCCTGGAAGCAGAGATGGACTCAACCAAGTTCTTCTGCCTGCTCACCAGCCACGTTTTCTATTGTATCATGCTGCCTCAGTTCCTGGGTGGGAGCTGCTTTCTGGGACCTCTCCAGATCTCTGGGAATAACAGGCTCCCCCAGGCAGGCCCTTCACCAGCATCCCTCCCTCTCACTCTGATATGACCTGGCTATGACTGAATACTTTGGATCTCATTCATAGGGATTCAAGACCTCTGGAGTGCACAGGGGACAGGTACAGGGAGCAGCCCCTGTCACTAAAGCAGGTAAAGACCATCCATGGGGAGCAACTGGAATGCCTGAAATAAAGAAGAAAAAAGAAGGGCTGAAAAGGGAAAAAAGGGAGGAGGGGAAGGACAGAAAAGGAAATGGTGAGAAGCACCCCCCACAAATGCTGCGGCTGCCACTGTGTGCACTGAGCCTGTTATACTCCACCTTCAGCACGTGAGAAGAGGGTGGGGAAGAGGGGTGGCAGGGAGAACATGGGAAGGAGCCGAAACAGGACAAGAGAGATTTTATTACAGGTTCCAGAGGCAGATGGAACCCTAGGGTTCTGCCTCCTGAATTCTGTATCCTGCTATTAGGCTGGATTACGTGGGCGAGGCCAACTGGAAGGTGCCTGGAATCCACCAGTCCTGAATTCACGAGAATACATATCTCTGGCTAGTAGAAACCTTCCATCAATACCATATTCTCTCCAGAAAGCCTAGCTTGGGAATTCAATTTCAATGGCATCTGGCCCCAAAAGAGATAAACAGAGAACCAATAAAATGTTTACTGGTATCTTTTTCTGAGACCAGAAGTCTCAAATCGGAGGACTTTTCAGCAGAAAAGTGCTTAATACATTAAGAGTTCAGTTCCATTCTCATCAATGAAGGACCAATTTAGGCTGCCCTCATGGAAATGCCCCTGGGAGGATCACAGAGATCACAGCTCTTCAGACCTCTCCCACCCATAATAATTCCTTATTTTGCCATCCTAGTAACAACAGCAGTGAGAGCTTGGCTCTGGGGTTACACAAAGACAAAGAGAGCCCAGACCAGCCTTGCAGACAAACATCAGCTCATCAGAAGTGGTCAATCTTACCATCACACAGAGGATGAGGGGGGAAAAAGTAGTCAGAGGCAGCTTTGACAGCTGCAGCAGTGCTGGGCTTATCCAAGTTTTTCCCAGCAAGGAAAGAAACTCAAACCATGTCTCTAGTGAGCATTCCAACTCCCTCTGCACGAAGAAGACATGCTCAGAGATGTTACAGACTTTGTGATAGCCAAGGAAAAGCCAGGACTAAAACTCAGACCTGAGCATCACCTCACATAAAATGGCAAAGGCAAGACTTAAGCAGCTGAGAGAAAAGGGAGAGAGAGGCCAGGGCAACCTGCACCCTCCCCCTATCCCTCAGGAGAGGAAGCAATACCAGTACCTGCATTAGGACGACGTCTCAGCCCACCAGCACCAGAGCAAAGCCGAGATGACCACCAGGCCTACAAGAGGCAAAGAGAAGATAGGGGGATCGGGGGTAGGGGATGGCTGCAACACATCAAATGAGAAAGAAGCAAGGAGACAGACAGGAGATGTGAGACAGAAACACATGAATCCAACAGATAATGAAGATGAGAAAACAAGGGGAAAAGAGAAAGGAATCGAGAGGTTAAAAAACAGGTAAGCCAGAGCAGTAGCATTTCTTTTCTGCTGCCGGGGCCTTGGTTCTCTCCACTGGCAGCCTGCAGGAATTGCAGAACTCAACACGTTAAGCAGCAGCTAGGTCCAAATCAGCTGGGGAGTCCCATGCTCTGTCTTGTCATGTACCTCTCGTCTCTTGCCAAGCAGGAGTTTTCTGCACCTAGACCTTTCCTGTGAAGCTCCTGAGAGTAGCGGCTTCCTTAGAGGAGTAGGGTGGATACTTTTCCTGATCATTCTAGGAAGAGCCAATCTTCTGCCAGGCCACCTGGGCTTTTGTTAATCCCCTTGTTCTGGTCTGCTTCCCATCAAGTTTCTTAATATTTTGGGCACTGGTCCCTAAAATCCCCTAGGAGTCTAATGCTATATGTGAAAAAAAAAAAAGGACTTTAAAAAGCTACTAATGGAGAAGGGCTAGTTCTTTGATTGTAAGAATCATCCAGAAAGAAACTGAATTTGCAGGTAGTAACAAACACTCCTGTAGAGCTGCCTGCAAAAGATGCAAGACTCATCAGGACAAGGGCTATCTCCAAACATAGATACAAAGAACGTACTTGACTTTGAAGAGAAAAACTAGGTCTAGCTTTAGAAATGTGGCACCCAAGCTAAAGATGTTCAAGAGGCTCTGAAACATCATATGATAGAATATGACGAAATCAAGGACAGGGAACACTGGGGAAGGAGCTGCAGTGGCTCCTACTTAGACATCTAAGTAATGGTCTCCTGACACAAGGTTAATAGAGAACTGCATGCTGGATCCTTAGCCAGTGCTGCAGATCAAACTGCCAGAAATTCCAGACATCCTTAGAGTTGACTGGGTAAACTCACCACAAGAGACTTATTTTCTTTCCCTGTGTTTAGAGGGACAGAAGGAACCTGTACTGTAACCTGAGGACTTACTCAGGAAATGCTCAAACTCTTTAGAGAATCAGAGCTCCCAGTGGAGCCCAGGGCAGGAATTTAGTTGGTACATACTTGTGCAGATATACCAGCTATTAAAATCCAGAACGACTTCTGTCCAGCTGGTAATGTCCCCAGCATATCTCCACCCTAACCTCTCAAAGATCCAGCAACTAAAGGGTTAAGGCTGGGGTTGGTCTCCTTGAACTAGCCATCGCCTCCCACTGTACAGACTGAAAAATTTTCCTATCACTCCTGATCACCCCAGCCCCAACCCTCATGTCCTGTGATATACAGAACCTAGTGCGTGATACGAGCCTACGAAGAAATTACCCTCTTCCCATACTCCTAGTAGCAACAATAGAAGTTAAACCTGACAGAGCACCATAGGAAAACCGGACTGAGTATCCCAGGTTAATGGCAATACCCTGAAAGAGTGTCCTTCACGCAGTGCCATAAGGAAGATAAAGGGCTACTACATAAATGCAAGGAGACAGGACTCCAAAGATGCCACTTTGTCCCCAGAAGAGGTGACCATTGTGAGATGGCTACAACAAGTTGGGCTGGGCTCATTTCAGAAAGACCGCTCTCTCATGCCCTCGCTCTCTCATGCCCTCGCTCTCTCATGCCCTCTCCGATCCCACCTCCGGAGGACCAGACCTCAGGGCTTGCTGGCCTCTCCTCCCAGAGACCATCCTTGGCAGGGTCACCTGGACACCAGGGCACCTGAGCCCAGGAACCCACCTCTTGCTGCTCCAGCCTTTGGCTGTGGTTACCTTTGTGCTCTCAGAAAGTCTGAGGAAGTTGTTTTCTTCAGCGGCTGCAGGGGGAGAGTCATTATCCTCCTCCTCTTCGCTGCCTTCTTCCTTATCCTCTAGGTCTTTGTGCTCCTCCTCTTCTGCCTCCTGACTCTCTGTGGACTTCACTTCCCCAGGGTCTGGTGGCTCAGAAGCTAGCTCACCCCAGGATGCCTCCTTTGTTTCCTCTTCCATTTTCTCCTCTTTTTCCTCCTCCGTCTCCTCTTTCTTTTCCTTTGCTAGCTCATCTAATTCTTTCAGGCTGGCCTTATAGTACAGCACCACCTCCAGACTCTGTGGGTGGGGGAGAGCGGAATGGGGCTGCTGTCACCTGTGAAGACTCCCACCCTCATTACAATGCTGTGCTCTCCCCAGAAGCCTCTTACTTCCAGCACGCCACAGCGCGAGGCTGTAGCACTACGTTCTTGGACTGCGAGCCAACTTCCCTGGGCACGTGGGGAGAGCAGGCACACCTCGCCTCTCAGGACCAGGACATCTACTTGGACATGAAGGCATTTGAGGTGGCCACTAGAGCTACAGATCCTTGGGCTCTGAGCCTCAGCTGCTGCTTCCACCCCTTAGGAGGGCTCCTCTTTTACCTAATCCTTTCAATTATCAGTGCGTGAATTCCTCTCTCTTCATCTATTTGATCCTTCTCTTGGGTACATAACCCAGGAAAAGCAAGGGCCCCAGAAAATGAGGCTGGGCGAATTGAAGCATCATCCAGCCTAGGAATTATGGTTCTCTGGGGCTGTACTTCACGACATGAGTTGTCCATTTCCCACTTTTTCCACAGCTTCACAGGAAGAAGAGCGCCAGCCTTCCACTAAGACAAAACTACGTGGACACTTTAGAAATCCCAGAAGCCTCCCTACAGATCCCTCACCTGGAAGTGGCGGTGGAGATGAGGTTTCTTCCCAGGATCTCCTCCACCTTTCTGCTTATCTGGCTCCTAAGACTACCACTCACCTTTTTGATCTCCAAGTTGCTGTTAGAACTATCTGTGCACAGCTCGGTCACCTTTTTAACTTTGGCCCCATTGGCGTTCTTGTTTGTGTTCTTATTGCCATTCTTGCCCTGGGCTTCTCTGGCCACGGAGGGCCTCTTCTTGAGCTGGCAGAGCTCTTCCTGGCAGCACTGCAGCTGCCCCTCCAGCTGCTCCTGCACAGCCAGAAGCCGGCCCTGCTCGTCCATGCTGGCCTGGTACTGCAGCTGCAGCTCCCGCAGCTTGGACTGCAGTTCTTTGATCTGTTGGTGGTGGAGGGCCAGTCACCCAGAGCTGGGCCCACATGCCAGCCCAAGCCCTTGCTTGGGGGGTCACTGCCTCAGAAACTTCCCTGCTAATGCCCATGGGAAGTAGAAAATAGACAACACTGAACTGTGGAAAATGAGCCTCTTAGTTTTACAAATAGCTTCTCCCCAACTTGAGGCACCTAAAGATTTATAGCCAAAAGGATTTGAAAATGATGATTTAAAGTTACATTTTTACTGTGACTTGTCCGGGGAATAACTACCGGGCTGCTAGCACTTCAGAACCTTAAGTCATTTATTGTAGAATTTTTGGCATGGGAACTCCTCAGTCACCCCACCCATTTCTCCCATAGGTGCCATGACTTAAGGAACTGCAGTGTACATGTCCGAGTGTACTGAGTTCCCGTACCTCCTCCTGGAAGCAGAGGCAAGTTGCCTCCCTCAGCTGATGGCAGCACATCATTACCCGCTCCGCAGGTGCCAACACTAGCCCACCTAGGCCCGTGCCCACTGCCCTTTGAATCTCTCCCACGTGCACACACAGTGACCTCACAACCCCACTGGACTATGAACTCCTGGCCAGAGACAAGGCCTTCAGCCTCACTCCTAGGGGATGTAGAGCATTCTTCTTGGCATCATGAGAAATCCAAAAGAAGGGGACAAGGCCCTGTCCTTGACGTGCCATGGGAGACAAGACAAAGCAATGTCACAAAAAGTGATGAAAGAAGACTGGCAGTGAAAGAAATATGACTCCACAGACGTGTTCCAGGGTACAAAAGAGAACAGAAACAGAAAAGGGAAAAAGAAAAACGATTCGATGATAAGAGTCTTGATGAACAGTAAATCCCAGCACTGTGGGCACCTGGGCAATGCCCATCGGTGATGAGCATACTGTTCAGCCTCTTGGGGTTCACAGTCTCCCTGCTCTGTCTCTCTCTCTTTAGCCTCTCTGAAATGGCCATGACTTCCTCTGGTTCTAGAGACTCCCGGAGGAAACCCTGCCTCCCTGATGGCAGTTACCTCATTCTTGTCGCTCTGAGAGGCCACGGGCATCTCGAGGCCTTCCATGCACTCCCTGAAGGCCTTTTCACAGGCATCCAGCTCTTCCTTCAGCTCATTCTGCTTGTCCAGGGCCCTCTTCATCTGCTCCTGCAGTCGGTCATGCTCCTTCAGGCTTATCGTGTACATGGCCTGCACTGCCTGCAGCTTGGCCAACACCTCTGCAACCTTTTCCTCAACATGCTGTGGGGGTGGGGAGCAATGATGGCACCCTGAGAAGTGCCTGACCTCCACCCTGCTCTCTGTGCCAGGCCCTTCCCTGGATACTGAACAATGGCCACACAGACCTGGAGTTGCCCAGGGGATACCGCATTTCTCCCCATGAAGAGCACCATGACGGTGTTGACAAAGAGTCCTGAATCCTAGGCCTCCATCCAGATGGGGCCATCTCCATATGAGGGGCTGAGTGGGAGCCAGGGCTGTTGTGGACAGGGACCTCATTTACTTCCAGTAGTTCCCCAGGTGGGCACTGACCCTGTTCCCACCTCACTTCATGTGCCCTTCCCCTGGTGACGCATCTCTTAAAGAGACAAGAGCCCGTCTTCCCCTGCCTGTCCTGGCCACTGTTACCTCCAAGTCTTCCAGCTCCACAGGCTCGTCATCAGCACAGCTGCTGACATAACTCTTGTGACAGGTATCAGAGCTGCTGGTGTTGCTGTAACTCTTCTTGTAGGTGACACTGCTGCTGCTGCTGCTGCGGTAACTCTTCTCGTAGGCCTCGCTGGCACTGGTGCTGCTGCCATAGCTCTTGAGAAAGCTCTCATTGCTGGCCTGGGTGCTGGTGTAACTCCTGAGATAGCTCTCGCTATCATCAGTGGAGCTATTGCAACTCTTGCGACCGTTCTCACTGCTGGGCGCCGTATCAGCAGAGCTGTCCTTGCAGGACGTGAGGCTCATCCTTGTGGAAGGGGACTGTACCTGGAGCAGCTGCATTTCCTCCAGGCAGAGCTGTAGGTCTGCCTGCAGCCTCTTGTGCTCCTCCAGGAGCCGCCCCTGCTCCTGCTGCAGGAGCTCTTGCTCCACTTGGCTGGTGTTGTACAGCTCCTGCAGAGCCTGCATGTGCTTGATGAACAGCTTGGACTTCTGGGGGCAGGGGTGGGAGATGGTCGTTATTCTCAGCCCACAGTCCTTCCAGCTGCACCTCCCCTGGTGCAGACATCCGAGAGCAGACCCTGGTGAACTGCACTCCCACACTTCAGCCTCGCTAAGCCTATGTCTCTGACCTGGCCTATAGGTAACTGGTACGTGTCAGTTTCTTGCTTGTTTGGGAAAATCTCCCCAGGGTAGATACTCCATGTTTTCTGGGCTCTCATTTCTGGTTTCTGCACTCTGGCATATCACTCTTTCCTTGGAGCAGTGCTGAGTGGATTTCCTGAATACCCTGGCTCCCTAACTCACCCTCATCTGTCAGGTGTACATACCATTCTGACCTGTAGGCCCAGTCCCTCCCCCTACCTCAATTCTAAAATTAACCCCAGCCTTGAATGTGGTCATTTCCTTGGAAGAATTCTTTCCTTGGAAGACATGAACTTGGAGCCGAGGTCTCACTGCTCTTCCCTGTGTCACCTGCCCCAGAGTGTGGCCTCTGGGCCTTGCTTCTGGGTTGCTGATGCCCAGGATGAGATCAGTGAGGGAAACATTTTACACCTGGTTCCCAGCACTGTGTGGTCAGGCTTCCATCCTGGACATCTGATGCCCCTGGAAGATGATCCAGTCTCACAGTGTGGATTTCTGCTCTTCCCTGGTTGTCCTTGTTTAGACTAAGATCTGAATGAACAGAACATAAATGGAAACTGTTCTTTCTGGTCATGCTAAGACCTCAGACCAAATTCTTCCCCTAGCCCTGAAGTGACTTGTGTGGCAATCTCTACCTGTGTCACTCTCGTCTGTGCCACTGTCGTCTGCATGTGTCACCTCTCTGCTGGTGCTTGAAAGGCGTGGATTTCTGGCTAACCCCTGATCTGTCACTGCCACCAATGTTCCAGTGACAATAGTATAGTCAGTACTAAGAACCCCATGTGCTAGCAATTCTCCCTTGGAAATGAATGGGCCCAGATTGGCCTCATCCAGACACCAAAAGGTTCTAGACTTTGGCAACTGAGAAACGTACACATTTAGAGTCAGTCCAAAAGAACCCAAACAAACACTGGCTTGACTATACATCTTGAAAATGGTATATGGTGAAGGACAGAGCCAGCCTTATCCTTACTCCCAACAGGCCTCTTCCTAACTCTGACCCTTCTGGAGCACCCCTTTCCCTGTGATACCATCTCCCTACCTCTCCTGTGGTTACCTTGTTTCGATCACATTTTGAGGATTTAGCCGATTTAGAATCCTCGGGATTCTCCAATACTTCCTGGAAATGAGACTCTTTGAAACATCGCAGTTCTTCAAACACCTCTAATTGTTCTTTTAATACACGCTCTTGGTTCTGTATCTGTGTCTTCTGTTCCTCCTGCCTGCCCTGGTAGAGCAGCTGCAATTCACACAGGTCTTGTAACTTTGTAAGCAGCTCCTGACTCTGAGTGGATCAGAAGGAAGGAGGCAAAGGAGTGTGGCGGTTGCGGCAAGACCTATGCCTCCCTCCATGCCTCCTCCCTGGTGGGCTCAATTCCCTGACTAATCTCTGGGTTGGCTTTGCACAGCCTAGCTGGGGACGGGAGAGAGTCTTTCTATGGAGATTTGCTAATTGAGTAGTAATGAACGCTTATGTTTGGATGTATTTTGTAGTTTACAAGGCGCTTTTAGGTACATTTTCTCCAGCTGGACTATCTAAATAGAAAATGCCACACAGACTCCAGAATAGAAGATATGAAGCCCTCATGAGGACCCTAATTGGCTCTACTGGGCTTTTGGGTTTGGGGAGACTGGTGAGAAAGTAAGGAGTAGCCAGCTTGGAAAAGAAAGAGTTACATTCTACCTTTTCTTCTTCCCAAGTAGAGTCACATGGGAGGCTTCTCAGAGCAGCCTCCCAACAGAGGCCGGTGCTGCCCTGGCTGGTTCTCCTGGCTGGGTTACCTTCAGGAAGAGGCCACCCTTGGGCAGCGGGAATGTGAGCCTATGCAGCTCTTCTTGCAGCTGGCCCTGCTCCTCCTGCATCCTCCTCTGGTCCTCCAGGAGCTCACACTGCTCCATCTGCAGCTGCCCCACCTCCTTCTGGCTGGCCTTGTACTTCTCCTGCAACTCTGTCAGTTTGGACAGCAGTGTCTCACACTGTGAACGGGCGGGGTGTGAAGGGGGTCACTCCGTGAGATTGGTGAGCAGAGCACATCTGCGCTCTCCTGCCTCTTGCAACTCACCGGGTCTCTCTCCCTACACAGTCACCTGGGCCCCTACAGACCAGGCCTAGGTGCTGAATGGGGAACCCCAGCAGGCTGCTCTTCAAAGCAGGCTGCTCTGGCCTGTTGGGGGCCGTGCCTCAACTCTTCTGCCTTTCCCTTGTGGGGCAGATCGGGAGGCAGCCTAGCAATACCCCTCTCTGTCCACTTCCCACCGTCCTTTACTCTGACCCATTCCTTGGGGTAGATACCATCTTCCTGCCCTGCTGGGAACTCTAGCTCCTGGTACTCCCATTAACCCCAGTTGTTTTTGGACCTAACTTATTATGCTCCTTACCAATAAGGACTTTATTTTACCCTAATTTTCCCCATTTTTGTTTTTCTAATCATCTCCCCCCCCCCCTTTTTTTTTTTTGAGTTGAAGTCTCACTCTCCTGCCCAGGCTGGAGCGCAGTGACACACTCATGGCCATCGCAGCCTTGATCTGCTGGGCTCAGATGATCCTACAGCTTCAGCCTTCCAAGTAGCTGGAACTACAGGCACATGCTACCACACCTGGCTAATTTTTTGATTTATTATAGAGACGAGGTTTGCCAAGTTGCCCAGGCTGGTCTTGAACCCCTGGGCTCAGGCAATCCTCTCGCCTCTGCCTCCCAAAGCTGGGATTACAGGCGTGAGCCACCACACCCGGTTGTCTCTTAAAATCTTTAGAAAAGAATGAGCTATTGCTGAATTAGGTTGAGAAGACAAAATCATCCCATGATTCCAAAACCCCAAATCTTCTAACATCAGAAAAAGCTCAATGTTGCTCTGTACGTAGAGAAAAAGATGGCTCCGTATCCAGCACTCCTCTCCTGGCCCACTGGGAGAGGAGGCAGTGAGCCCCACTTGAGTGGGAGTGGAGGAAGGGGAAAGCGGGAGCCTGGGCACAGAAGGGCGAGTACACTGTTCAGGTGGCCCAGATGACCCTTCCAGCCCCCTGTCTCCTGAGGCCTTTCCCTCGGGACACAGGCTGCTATTGACTGTGGTGGGAACGACTGAATATTCTGGCAAAATGTGACCAATGCCACCATCTTTTGTGACCTGGTGCCTTTTCTCTATCATACTTCAACACCTTCCCACTTCCTATCAGTAACCAGGGCTGAAAGTGCTAATAACAGTTTGTAATGTATACACTATAGAAACGGGAAAAAATGAATCAGGCCTTATTTGTCACTACCAGGATTTATTACTAAAAGGAAGTGAGATAAGAGTAGTATTCTCTTCAGTTTAAAGAGGGTGCAATTCAAGCTTCAAAAATGGAACTACTTCAAAGTCACAGGCTAAGTCCTGGAAGAGCCTAGGTCCCTCTACAACCCAATTAGTGCTCTAGGCACAAGACCACAGCCCCCTTTAGAAGAGCATATGCAGTCTGTCTCAGAAAACCAGTCCCTCTCTCAAGTTCTAACAATGAGAGGTGCGTTCTCCATGAATGACTAGATATTGCTACAGTGCTGACACCAATGTATAAATGCCTATACACATGGAATCAGACTTCAGGGTTCAGACTGGGATCCTACTGTCCGGATCCTACTTAGCTGTGGCTCTGGCTCAAAGTCATGGCCAGGACAAACTGTGGTAAAGTGGCGGCATGTGGCTCTAGGCCTTTGCTTCTTGCCTAGGAAGCCCATCAAGCCCTCGGCCAGTGACTTCACCTTCTGCCTCTGTACCTCCTCTCTCGGGAAAGTGCCCAGGAGCTCTCACCTCTCTGAATTACAGTTACCTTATTAGCACACTCCCCCTTGTCCTCAGGAATGGGCTGGGTTGTTTTGAGCTGTTTCAGCTCCAGCTGGTAGAGCAGGAAATCCTGCTGGAGCTGGTCATACATGTGCTTCTGTTGCTCTAGCTCATTCTTGCTGGCCTGGTACAGTCGCTTCATCTCCTGGAGCTGGGAGTGAATCTCTGTGTTCTGGTAGGGGAGGCAGGCCTGGCTGTCAGCCGGTGCCCTGCTGCTGCACTCTCCCCAGGCTGGGACTAAGGGATCCATCTTCCCTTGCCCTTCCCAGCCCCAGTGTCATCCCAGCCAGGAATTCCAAGATAGACCTATTCCTAATGGGCTCACACACACCTTCTGGGGCTTCCTTTTTGGGGGAGGGGAAGGAGCTTCCTTTTAATAGGCTGCTGCTCTTATTTAAAATCAAAGGAGTCCCTTGTGACTCTAAAAGCACCACTCTACTAAGTTCCCCTTTAGTCCTTCACCACTGGCCCCTTCAAAGAACACCTACCACTCCCACTCCTCCTCTACCCTCATTCTCACAAAAGATTCTGCCTGGCCACACTTTCCTCACCTCAAGCAAGCTCCTTTTACCTTCTCATTGCTCTCCTGGAAGGAGGCCACCATGTCCCTGAGGCGCTGCAGCTCTGCCTCATGGCACCGCAGCTTCTGCTGCAGCTGGTGCTGTAATTCCAGCAGCTTCTCCTTCTCGCATGTAATGTTCTGGTACTGGAACTGCAGTTTCTGCAGCCGGCACAGTAACTCCTAAGGCGGAGGGGGCTTTGGGCAGTGCCTCTGGGCTCCTCAACCCCTGGTTCCTCTGCCCAAGTCACTCTCAGTTGCCAGCAGTCTGCGAGTTCCTTCTCCCTGCCCCTCACTTCCTTTCCTGGTGCCTTCTCATCCAGTAAAGAGCTTGAGGGGCTGGTGTTCTCTACCCAGTGGTGCTGCCTCCATAGCAATCGCTATTCTGATTCGCCCTCCCCAAACCTCAGACAGATGTGCTCAGCTCCTAAGCTACCCCTCACCTCTAGTTGCTGTTACCTTCTCACTCTGGCTTTCTAGGACTGGGGACTTCATGACTTTGAGCTGCTGGAGCTCGGACTGAAGCTGAAGCTGCATCTTTAGGAGCTCGGTCTGCTCATCCTGGCTAGTGTCATACTTTTTCTGCAGGGTGCAGAGTTTAGTCTTCAGCTCCTCATTCTGTGGTGGGGAGGGCGTGAGTAGAACAGTTACTCTCAGGAAACAGCAGACCCTCTACAGACCACTGGTTTCTTTTCAGACACAGACATCTTAAGAAGCTGCCACAGGTCTATAGTTGGCTTCTTCTGTGACACAGACACTCAGTAATGACCACGGTTTCTAGAATGCAATGCTATATGACTTCCACAACAGGTTTCCAGTAGCCTGGCCTTGGTTGTAGGGCAAGGGTCAGTTGAGCACAGCCCAGCTGTCTGTGCTCACCCCTGCTGAGGCAGTGCCTCTGCGAGGCCCTTCTGCCCTCCCCAGATGCCTCCCCCAGCAGTCGTTTACCTGGATGACACTGTGGGAGGTCTGAAACCGGAGCACCTCATTCTGGGCACACTTGAGCTCCCTCTGCAGCCGTCTCTGCTCCTCCTCTCCGACCTGGCGATGATGCTGTAGCTCTTGCAACTCACAACACAACTTCTTACACTGTGTGGGAGATAGAACAGGGAAGCTGATTTACTGCAGGTACCACATGCGCTTCCTGAACAGGCTGAGGGAAGGCTGGCATTGCTGGGATTGGATATTTACATCAGGCAAGCAAGCAAGCCTCCGAGCACTGTCTCATGCCACAGTGCCTGCCTCCTCTGTCCACTCTATCCTAAGGAGATGCTTCTACCACAGGTCAGGGGAAGGAGCAAGGCAGACATGAAGGGTCCAGCCACCCCACCCTCTGCGCCCTACCTTGTTCTGCATGTCATACATCTGCTCCTCAGCTCCCAGCAGCTGCTGTCGCAACAACTGCATTTCAGGATCAGGCTCTAGGAAATCCATCTCTGACGTCTGAGACTCTGTCGATATCATACTCCTTAGTGTGTAGGACTCCAGCCATCTCTCTGTTGCTCTTCGTGTCCTGTAATCCAGAAGCCCAGAGCCCTGCTGGGAGGGAACTCTGCCCAGTATCACCAACCAAGTGAGGTTGGTCCAGATGCCTCCATTTTAGACCAAAGATAGTAAGGGGTCTTTATTGCAATTCACCTCTCCAATAAACACACCTAGAAGATTACAGAAGAAGTCTCCAGGATCTTATTCTGCAAAGGAATATTTGGCTCCGGGAGACTCTAAGAGTGCCACTCCAGTTGGTTTGGAGGCTGGGCCTGGTGTCAAGCCAGCTCTCCTCTGGAAGCACGTGCCATTAGACTGCATCAAGACTGTGCGGGCAACTAAAGAATCTCTTTTGGTCTACTCTATGGCAGAGCAAGCCAGACCCCAGTGCCTAGAACGGAAGAAAACTGTACTTTCGAGCCCATTCACTCAAGGCCTGAGACACCAGTGTTAGATCCCTCTGCCTGCCTCCAGGAGTCTCTGGACCCTCAGGGACACCATGGGGAGGACTGGCTCCTCTAGGAGCAGAGGGCCGCTACATCTGTCCTCAGGGAAGAGCCCTGCAAGGTAAGAGTCCTGCAGAGCCCGCGACCTCTCGCTCTCCAGAGAGTGCTGTACCTCTCGCTCTCCAGATCTGCAAGCTGCCCTGTGAGGCTGCTGTTGCTCTCCTGCAAGGCCTGGTACTCCTCGGTCAGGAAATGGTAGCGTTCCCGCAGCTGCTGCAGTTCCTCTGCAGAGGAAAAGCAGAGAAAGGTGAGACCCTCAGGAGAAAGGCACTGATGACCAGTCCCAGGCTTCCTGTCTGGAACCTGAGAAAAGGCTGAATAGCATCTCTTTACCTGAAGACAGAAAAGAGATACCACATGTAGAGGTCTAGAAGACAGGGCCCAGAAAATTCCACAGTGCAATGCGTCTTTATCCTCTTTCAGACAGCTGCCTTTCTCTTCTTCTGCCCAGAAGATATGCCCTGTGTGCTCATCTTCAAAGCCTCAACTGAAGCAGAGTCCTGAGCTCTTAGGTGCTTTGAGGGTTTCATTAAGTTTTTGTTTTGTTGTATTTAAAGTTTCCACTTAACTGCTTATGATTACATTCCTATTATGCTTTTAGTAAAAAATATGAGTGATGTGAATTGTCAAATGTCACACTGCCAGTTCATGCCTTTCAGAGACAACATAGGCACTCCAAGTTTCCTTTTACTTCCTTTATCACCACACTGAATACACTGGTGGATGTGGTCAAGAGTTCCTTCTAATGGTCTTTTAACTGCTTACAGAAAAGCCCATCCTGACCAGGGACGCACATCACGCTCAGGCATCAGAAGAGGTTTGAGCTGGGCTCGGTGGCTCAGCCTGTAATCCCGCGCCTTTGGGAGGCTGAGGTGAGTGGATTGCCTGAGCCTGCAGGTTCAAGACCCGCCTGGGCAGGCAAGACCTCATCTCTACAATAAAATAAAAAAATTAGCTGGGCGTGGTAGCATGCGCCTGTAATTCCGGCTACTCGGAAGGCTGAGGCGGAAGGATCACCGGAGCCCAGCAGGTCGAGGCTGCGGTGGCCGGGACGGCCACTGCACTCCAGTCTGGGCGACAGAGTGAGACTCCAACTCAAAAAAAAAAAAAGAAGAGGTTTGGCTGAAATGCCCAGCATTTGTCCCTGAGTATCAGTCACCAATACTTTTTAATGCTGTGATGATACAAACACCTATAATCTGTTTTGTTTCCTCATAATTTTTTTGAGTTGGAGTCTCACTGTCGCCCAGACTGGAGTGCAGTGGCCACTCCTGGCCACCACAGCCT